TAACATGCGGAAATACATCACTGCTATGGAGCAGTTGAACAGGGAAAGGTCAAGAATTGGTCTCATTCCTCCCGACTTCTTTGGTACTATGAAGTAGCGGGAGTAGAAGCCTGAGAGCTCTTGTCTTGGGAAATGGCGTCCTTGGACAGAAGTTCCCGCAGCTCCAGGGCCTGAGAATGTTCCTGTGATGTGAAGGTCGTCTCCACGATCCCGTTGAAGGGAGGAGGAGCGGACTGAAAATGGAGTGTGTGACCGTAATGAATGGTCTCCGATATCCATTTGCTTATGAGACAAAGGTGGCGCCATTCTTGCGTGCGTTCCGACAGCAGACGCGTGTTCGAGGTCACGTGAACGACGTCTGAGGACTGGGTTCGCACCCTTACCACCGTCGCTTGCACCAGAGAACTGGGAGCGACCCATGGAGGGTTGCGGTCGAAAGGGCGAGTGTGAAAAAACTGGAAGAGGCTGATCCGCACCGCGGAGCGTGGAGTCCAAAGTTAAAGGACGAGTGGGAGTCGGGCCCGTGCACGGGGACGACAAAGTGCCAGCGGATGGAGCCGCGCAGTGTCGACGCGCGTGGTCGCAACAGCGCCATGACATCCCGTCCCACCCAACGTTGTGGGGGAAGCGGAATGTGTTGGGCCTGGCTGGAAGCTAGGGCTGGTGCGCAAATGGAGCGCACCCGTACAGCTGGCTGTGTAATATGACTGCGGGAACATGCAGATGTGTTGCAGTGCTTGGTGTGGGGAACATGTGTGAGGATTCTGCAGAGGACTGTAGGATTGTGCTCTCTATGTGATGTTTTTTGGGTTTTATTTCAAAACCAAAATCATTCACAGAGTTATTACAGTCAGAAGCACACACATTCCCCCCCAACGAGTCATTTTCGTGGTTGCTTTCGGCGAGGTTCCTGCGACTGTGACTGCCAAGACCGTGTCTGCTGGCTCTTTCGAAATCATTGGCCACCAACTCTCTGGTCCCGCTTCGGCTCCACCTCAGCGGGAAGCTGGCTCCGTGGGGCGGGCGGTGCAGCTGGGCGCCTGAAGTTCCCGCGCCGTTCGTCCCATCCTCTGGAGGAACGGCCGGAGTACGAGGCTGACCGAGGGTGGACCAGGTCTCGCACCGTGGCTGACAGTTCAGCTGTCTTCTGAGCCCCTCGATGACGCTCCTAAGATGGGGGCCAAACAGAACGTCAGAGGTGATGGGGCCTTCCAGCATCTCCCTGTGCAGGTGTTCAGGAATTGAGGGCAGGGCCTTGAGCCACAAGGCCCGCTGGATAAGGGTCTGCCAGGCAGCAATGCGAGCAGAACCGGTGAGTACGGCGGCGCACAGATTGAGAAGGGCATCAGCAGTTTTAGTAATGATGGTTTTTGACTCGTCAGGAGCGTCAAGCTCTTCCACCATTTTGGAAACGCCAAAGGCAAGAAGGGCGATGTTATTTCCTGCAGCACCGGTCTGGAAGGTGCACTGGTGTGCGTGATTGGTGAGCCGCGTCAGCAGCTGGTCATGCTTAGAAGCGGGAACTGCTCGTGGGCCAGCGAGGTGGTTCTTGGCGCCAAACAGCGAGGCCAAGTCCGGCTCCAGTGGAGGAGCAGATGGCAAGCCTTGGTCGGAGAAGCCCTCGACCTTGGTAATGGGCGCATATGTGGTAATTGGCGCCTTGAGCTTAACAGGTTCGGAGAAGGCGGCGGACCAGCAGCTCATGGCAGCGGGGAAGCGTGGCCAGATGGGGTCTGGACGGCGCATCTGAGTTAAGCCGAAAATTCCTGCCAAATCATCTGCCTCAGGAGGAGCCGGTTCTGGCACGGATAGCCCCTTGCGGACCACAGCCGCTGAGATGATGGCAGGCAGCTCCTGGAGCAGTGCTCTAACTGCTGGCAGGGAGGAGTGAGAAGTCACTGGAGCAGAAGGACCCGCTGAGCGAGACTCGTCGACCTTCGTGTTGTCCAGGAGAGAAGAAGGGCTATGGCAGCCAGCCTCGCCGTACTCCTCACTGTCGATGACATCGCCCCATCGGTTGAAGCCAGCCGGCTCCTGGCCGACGGTGAATAACTGTAAGGCCTTGTCCAGCGAGTATCTGTCAGCCACCGGAAATTCCTCGGCGGCGGTGGGGGTGAAGTACTCGACCCGGCGATCTTTTCAGCCACGGGCAGAGCGGGGGTCAAGGCCAGGCCATCGTGATGAGCCCCGAGACAAGACCTCACACTTGGCGTGCAGGTCGCCGCTGGAGATGGAGCCTATCTGGCAGGCCAGGCAGGTCCTAGCGTCGCTGGACATGGTAGGTGAGTAGAATGCTTGTTGGATAATTGCTCTTTAAAGGAAGCTCTTAAGCTTGGCTTGAAGAGATAACGGAGGCGAACAGTGGAGTCGCTCCACTTATATACCCACAGGGGTGCCAATCATTGGTGGGCGTACATTTAAGCTCTTCATGATTGTCTGATGCTGAGATCATCCTTCCAATAGCAGCTAGCTTAAGGGCTATGACTAGACGAAATAGAACTAAAGCGTTAATGATGATTTTTTAAAAATGAAAATGAATAAAGGAGCATTGATTGCATCACTACAGGCTAAACTTTCCCAGAAATACAAGGATTAATTTGGAGTCACCCCAAAATTTTTTGACCCCATGAAACGTTTCTGGGGGCGCCACTGCATGCTAATGAAGAACTAGCTCTAACGTGGTTAACGCATCAAGAACCACACACGTATTACAGCATGAGTGACAGGACGCGTATCTCAATGCCAAGGAACCTCGCCTTGATGCCTTGGCCCTGCCCCGGTTGCCTAGGAGACACATCATCAGGAACCACCAAGGCCTGTTCCAGTGTTCATGTTCTACTGAGGCGCGTGTTCTCCGTTTGTTAGCCGTTTAGCTAGCTGAGCGAGGATACACGAGAGGTGTCTTGCAGCCTGGCCTTGGTCAAAAATTACCCACAATACACCAGGGTATTTTCAAAAGGACGGCGGCCGCGGATCAGAAGCCGACAGCTACTTAAAATTTCAAGTATAAATGCAAGTCAGCTAATTGTTGCCATCGGGCTAATATCTAAAATATCTTTTATATCCAGAGCAGTTAGCTATGGTTGGTAAGTGGCTTAGCAGCTGCAGCTTTGGTGGCTAGAAGGTAGTAACTTGCTTACATTTATAATTTAACCAATATACATACACAATTTATAAAGTAAAAGGCTTGTTATATATTTGTACTGAGATTTAGATGTATGAAAATTTGTACTGAGACTTAGACGTATGAAATATAACGTTACCTCCCGCGATGCAAGTGTTACATTTAACAGTTTTCTTTGACCAAGGAAGGACAGTGTCCTCGTGAGCAAGGCCTCTGGCCTAGCAAGACATCGCCTTGTGAGGCCAGGGGCCTCGACATTGAGAAGCATCCAGGGTCAAGCAGCTTTTTCTTCACCCTCCTGTTGAACAGGTCGAGGATCTTTGGGGACAAACTGCAGCTTTTAGTCAAAAGGTTAATTCATCATCAGCTAATTGGTGTAAAGACGTCTCTTAGCCTCGATCTGTTCAGCTTAGAGCCCCTTTAACGACCACTGATGAGGTGCTTCACCCGTCATTGGACAGAGAGGGGGCTTTAAGTAGTCTAAAGGGAAGATTTTTACTCTTGATTAATGGATTAAAGCTTTATGACTCATTGGTTTATGAGATTCAAAAACAGACAACCCAGAAGAAGATTCTAACTTCCTGTTTCTTTAATGACCTGCAGTGAAAACAAACTCAGAATAATAGTTACTAACCTATTCTGGTAATCCTGATTTACATGTCCTTGACATTTGTCGGGCCTCCCTTTACAAAAAGGGTTTAGTCTCAGTGGATCGACCTGGTTAAACATTCTCTGTACGACTGTTAACAAAAACATCGACATATCTCAACTTCTCCTTGATCAGGAGAATTCATTTGCTCTAAAAACAAGTGGTCATTCTTTGTACCTGGGGAGTGGGCATTCCTGTTTCATTACACCTGGAATAACCAGCAAACTGGGAGGGTGTGAAAAAGGTGATCCCCGCCCCGGTCGTCTGTGGGGGTTGTAGTGACCTGCTCCGACATTTATACACTTCTTGTTGGAATATTCAAAATAAGCTTAACGTGTGTTTTGCTAAATGCAAACCATTTTTTACCACGAGGTTTAGACGGTCTCTGATTAGAGAAAAGAAAAAAATACGCCCGACAAAAATTGTCAAGAATTATTGGGACCATCATCATATAATGTTAAGAATTATGAGACAAATTCACACTCAGAACACCAAACATCTGGAGATATTCCAGAATACTGTAACATCCCTAAAAGGTTATAGTTGTGGGTCAGAAGTGCAGCTGCAGGTAAATGTAGCTTTATTTCTGCTTGAATACTTTGATAAACCACTGCCAAGGGCAAACTGCTGTTCTGACTCTTTACAGCAGAAATGTTCAATATTAAGAAATGATCTCATCACGCGTTTCTCCTCCAGCGTCCTTAAATCTCTGGTGCCCAGATCCATTTACTGGGTTTGTTTCAAACCAGTAAGGCTGTAGCACACTGGTGGCCGTGTCTTACCAGAAATAGTATTTATGTTACCAACATTACTGGCGGTGTTTACTCCCGACTCAACTCCAAAACAAACAAACAAAACACGCCCAGCCTCTGGAAAAATCTATAAAGGTAAATCTGCTAAAGTCCTCGACAGGAAACTGTTATTTAGAGCTGATTTTGTTCTATTTGACGGACTTTAAGCTCAAAACTGCTGTGAGAAGTTATAGAAACAGCACTCATACTCGCTGTGTGTGCCGTCTCTGACTGTGATTGGTCAAATGATGACACGTGACTAACACACTAGAACAGAGATTGTGAACAAGAGGAGCCCCCTCTCCTTTCACTGGCTGATTTCCATAAGAGTGACTGAAACCCATCGCTGAACCCGACAGAAGACACGACTCACGAAAAGTGACAAGTGTGCAGGTTTGAACCTGGAAGTTAAATAATTCAACGCTCACACACATCCTGACATTTGGTACGTTTTATTGCACACTGCAGCAGCTGAGCTATGTGATCTCCTTAAAGGCTCTCTTCTCCACGTACTTGACTTTGAGTTTCCTCCTGAACCTGAAAGATGATAAAGGATGAAAACATGTTTTGCTGCATGACTGTGGTCATACGTGTGGTTGAACACGGCTTTCGAGTCCTTACTTGGCTCTTTCTCTGGGTTCAATCAGGTTCCTCTTCTGCAGACTCTTGAAGCGGTCCTTGAGGATGCTGCCCTCTGGCTGTAGGGTCATGACATTACAGGGATCAGAAGATGGGAGGGTACGAGTCCAGACAAAACACCAGACTCAAACCCAACCAGGACCAGCATGACGGAGGCTGCATGATTCTATATAAAATAACTAACGTGATTAAATAAAGCGGGTTGCCTCGGAGTCAGACGGTTAGATGTTTCTGTGCCGTTTCAAGGTGTCCAGCTGTGACTGGACACGTACAAGACGGAATACGCACCTTAAGTTGTCTCAGAGAGCCGGCCAGCTCGTCCCTTAGCTGCACCTCCAGGTCTGGAGCCTGGAACCTGAACAAACACAAGTTAGATGTGTGTGTTCATTGTTGTTAGACAACAAGAGCACAGGTGAGAGCAGGTGAGTACTTCAGCTTCCCGAGGCGTCTGGGCTGAGCTTTCTGAGCCTCCTGCTTCTCTTTGCGTTTGCTCCACCTCTTCTTGGTTTGTTGCTCCTGCTGCTTGATGGCGGCCTTGATGGAGCGCAACTGGAAGAGCTGCTGCTGCTGAACGGTCTGTCGTTTGACGCTGAGCTGCTGCTGCTCCTGAGACGAGTCAGAGGAGGAACATCGTTTTTACAGCACATCCCGACCCACACCAGAACCAAAATCCTGTTTTACATGCTTACTGTTAAAGATCTATATGACAGTTAAAACATGTTCTATTATCAAATCTTTTCACCACGTTTTGTTTGACCTGAGGAAAAAACACTGCCCACAAAGGATAAACTCACATGGCACTTAACCCAGAGCTAGAAAAGATGGCAGCGCAACGCCAGAAAAAGCCGTTGTTGGATTTTGGGTCCAGTGACCTCCCACGCTGTGGCCTAATGTTAATAAAGAGCTCAACTCTGCCACCTGCTGACCTAAACCAGGACATGCAATCTGCTACAAACTAACCCAGAGCAACGTCTCCCAGCTGAGCGACTTGTGGCGCTCACTGATTACGTGCTTTTGCCTCCCAATCTGCAATTATAAAAGTCCGGCCCACGGACCGCCATTTGCAGACCACTGTGGTAGACCCACATGATTACTGACCCTTTGAACCTACGTCACCTAAAGAGCCTTATTATGCATGTTTAGTTGGCCATTTCTCAGGGCTCCTAAGACATTTGAAGCTCCAACAGAATTTTGATATGCTTTATAGAGCAGGCGTGGGGAACCCTGGTCCTCGAGGACCGGGGTCCTGCACGTCTTTGCTCCAACACTTCTGATTCAGTGGTTGATTCACCTGTTCTGCAGCTCATGAAGCTCTGCAGAAGCTTGTTAATCACCTGCTGATTGAAATCAGGTGTGATGAAGCAGGGTTGAAACTAAAATATGCTGGATAGCGGCCCTCGATGGACCAGGGTTCCCCACCCGTTATATAGGCTCAAAGATCAGTTTTAGATTACTGGTTAGTTGCATTCTAGGTCCCGTTTAAAGAACATTAACCCATTTACTGCCAATGACGACTTAAGTCACGTCGGACTAGCCCCCGCACCGTGACAACAAACATCTCAGCTCTAAAGCCGATCTTCATCCGCATACGTCCCGTGATCAGGAAGCAGAACATCCATGTGTTAGGAGATCGTTTTGGGCCGCTGCTGTCAAAATAAAGTGAGGCGCGAACCGGAAAAGCTTCTGCCGATCACATTCAACAACGGATTATGAAAGAACGGATAACGCTCGAAACGCACGGATTCTCCCTGATGTAAGAGGTGAGTCTCCGCTTTGTTTTGATTGTTTTGGCGTCAACATCACCCTAGCACACAACGTTCTGTCACTCTTAAAAAAACGCTGGCAGTGAATGGGTTAAACGTTGTTTAAATGGCATTCTATAGTTTTTGTTCATTTAAGACTAAATAGCTAAACAATGAAAAACCGACATTAGGGCCCGGCACCGGGTCAGGGACCGAACCTGTTCCTGTGTGCTCAGAAAGTTGTTACTGATAAGCCCCCTTCAGACAGGCCATGAAAAACGGAAATGTTCCGGAATCTGTCCGTAAGACCTCTCTGTATGAATACAAACATCCGGATAACGTGTTCCAGAATTCATCTGGACGAAGCCCCTAGTAACAGGTCCGGACTTGTTACGGACAGGGTGGCTGCTTCAGACTGGTGAGGTAAAGTTCCGGACAAGAGGGAGGGGGAGGAGGAGGGGACCGGGGGACGCTGTGCGCACCTATATAGCCCGCTGCTGTAGCATGCGGCGAACCACGGCAGCTCGCCTCCTACGGTACCGCCTAGACGCGTGACAGAGCGCTTCACACCGCTTCGTGATTCCTTTAACCATTGAGCTTCATCATCCAGGTCTCTTATGCGTCTTCGTGTGCGCAGAATTATGCTTAAGTGCCTCGTGATTTTTATCTTGAGAGGCGCTATAGAAATGATATTTTCTTCTTCTTCTTCTTAACATAAGTCCGACCCACCACCCCCCCCACACCCCGCCGCCGTCAGACATCTGGAACTTTTCCCTGCTGTGTGAACGCAGCCGAAAGGACAAGTTCCGGTACAAAAGTGGTGTGTCTGAAAACACAGTTCCGGTTAAAAACCGGATTGAATTGTCCACAAATGTTCCAGAATGTCTGTCTGAAAAGGGCTATAGAGTTATAAAAAAAGAAAAGAAAAAAAGCATCATTCACATGAAGTAGTTTGTATTTCATCATCTGAAAGTATCTGATTCATCCATCTACTTTCAGCTGCTTATTCAGGGTCGGGTGGCGACAGCAGCAGCCTAAGCAGGGAGGCCCAGACTTTCCTCTCCCCAGCCACTTGGTCCAGCTTCTCCAGGGAATCCTAAGGTGTCCACTGGCCAGTTGAGGGACACTGTCCCTCCAGCGTGTCCTGGGTCTTCCTTTAGTCCTTCTACCGCTTGGACATGCCCAGAAAATCTCACTAGTGTCCTGACCAGATGCTCGAGCCACTTCAACGGGCTCCTCTCGATGTGGAGGAGCAGCGGGTCTACTCCAAGCCCCTCCCAGATGACCGAGCGTCTCACCCCATCTCTAAGGGAGAGCACAGCCACCTTGTGGAGAAAACTCATTTTGGCCGCTTGTATCCATGAGCTCGTTCTTTCGGTCACCACCCAAGGTTCGTGACCATAGGTGAGGGTAGGAACGTAGATCCACCGGTAAACCGAGAGCATTGCCTTCCAGCTCAGCTCTCTCTTCACCACAACAGATCGGTATGTCTTCATCACACCACTGCAGACACAACACTAATTCCCCTATCAATCTCCCACTCTATCTTTTGCTCACTGGTGAACAAGACCCCGAGATACTTGAACTCCTCCACTTGGGGCAGGACCTCATCCCTGACCCAGACAAGGAATTCTACCCTTTTCTGACCCAAGACCAAGGTCCCAGATTTAGAGGCGCTGATTCTCATCCCATCCAACTGTGGACCCACCACCCGCAGGAGGAACATGAAGGGTCCGGTGCAATGCGAATCGGGTGGCAGACCAAGGCGGGAGCCTTGGCGGTCCAATCCCCGGACAAGAAAACTAGTTTTTGGGACATGGAACGTCACCTCGCTGGCGGGGAAGGAGCCGGAGCTTGTGGCAGAGGTTGAGCGGTACCGGCTAGATATAGTCGGACTCACCTCGACACATTGCATTGGCTCTGGAACCCGAGACCTGGAGAGGGGTTGGACACTCTACTTTGCTGGAGTTGCTCCGGGTGAGAGGCGGAGGGCTGGGGTTGGCTTTTTGTTAGCCCCGAGACTCTCTGCCTGTGTGTTGGGGTTTACCCCGGGGGACAAGAGGGTAGCTTCCTTGCGCCTTCGGGTCGGGGAACGGGTCCTGACTGTTGTTTGTGCTTTTGGGCCAAATATCAGTTCAGAGTACCCACCCTTTTTGGAGTCCCTGGGACGAGTGCTAGATAGTGCTCCATCAGGGGACTCCATTGTCCTGCTGGGGGACTTCAATGCTCACGTGGGCAATGACAGCTTGACCTGGAGGGGTGTGATTGGGAGGAACGGCCCACCTAATCAGAACTCGAGCGGTGTTTTGTTATTGGACTTCTGTGCAAGCCGCAGTTTGGCCATAACGAACACCATGTTCGAACATAAGGATGCCCACCGGTACACTTGGTACCAGGGCAGCCTAGGTCGCAGGTCGATGATAGATTTTGTAGTCGTATCATCTGACCTGCGGCCGTATGTTTTGGACACCCGAGTGAAGAGAGGGGCGGAGCTGTCAACTGATCACCACCTGGTGGTGAGTTGGATCAGATGGCAGGGGAACATGCCGCGTAGACCTGGCAGACCCAAACGCATAGTGAGGGTCTGCTGGGAACGCCTGGCAGAAGAACCTGTCAAGACGGTCTTCAACTCCCACCTCCGGCAGAGCTTTGACCACGTCCCGAGAGCAGTGGGGGACATTGAGTCCGAGTGGGCCTTGTTCCACTCTGCGATTGTCGAGGCGGCTGTTGCTAGCTGTGGTCGTAAGGTGGCCGGTGCCAGTCGTGGTGGCAACCCCCGTACCCGCTGGTGGACACCAGAGGTTCGGGGAGCCGTCAGGCTGAAGAAGGAGGCCTACAGGGCGTGGCTGGTCTGTGGGTCTCCGGAGGCAGCAGACAGGTACCGGATAGCCAAGCGGGGTGCAGCAGTGGCAGTTGCCGAGGCAAAATCTCGGGCGTGGGAGGAGTTTGGTGAGGCCATGGAGAAAGACTATCGATCGGCTCCAAAGAGGTTCTGGCAAACTGCCCGGCGCCTCAGGAGAGGAAGGCAGCAACTCGCTCACACCGTTTACAGTGGGGATGGGGAGCTGCTGACGTCAACTGAGGCTATAGTCGGACGGTGGAAGGAATACTTTGAGGAGCTCCTCAATCCCACCTATGCGCATTCCGAGGAGGAACCAGAGCTGGGAGGCCTGGGGATGGACTGTCCGATCTCGGGGGCAGAAGTTGCTGAGGTAGTCAAACAACTACACAGCGGCGGAGCCCCGGGGGCGGATGAGGTTCGTCCTGGGTATCTCAAGGCAATGGATGTTGTAGGGCTGTCATGGTTGACACGTCTCTACAACATTGCGTGGTCATCGGGGGCAGTTCCTAGGGAGTGGCAGACCGGGGTGGTGGTCCCCATCTTTAAGAAGGGTGACCTGAGGGTGTGTTCCAACTATAGGGGGATCACACTCCTCAGCCTCCCTGGAAAGGTCTACTCCAAGGTACTGGAGAAGAGGGTCCGATCGATAGTTGAATCTCAGATAGAGGAGGAGCAATGTGGTTTTCGTCCTGGCCGTGGAACTGTGGACCAGCTCTATACCCTTGCAAGGGTGATGGAGGGGGCATGGGAGTTTGCCCAACCAATCCACATGTGCTTTGTGGATTTGGAGAAGGCTTATGACCGTGTCCCCAGGGGCACCCTGTGGGGGACGCTCCAGGAGTATGGGGTGGGTGGCTTTCTGTTAAGGGCCATTCAGTCCCTTTACCAGAGGAGCGTGAGTTTGGTCCGCATAGCCGGTAGTAAGTCGGACCTGTTCCCAGTGAGGGTTGGACTCCGCCAGGGCTGCCCTTTGTCACCGGTTCTGTTCATCACTTTTATGGACAGAATTTCTAGACGCAGCCGTGGTGTGGAGTGTGTCGAGTTTGGTGGCAGGAGAATCTCGTCTCTGCTTTTTGCGGATGATGTGGTCCTCCTAGCTTCATCCAGCTCTGACCTTCAGGTCTTGCTGGGTAGGTTCGCGGCCGAATGTGAAGCGGCTGGGATGAGGATCAGCACCTCCAAATCTGAGACCATGGTTCTCGACCGGAAAAGGGTGGCTTGCCACCTCCGGGTCGGGGGAGAGGTCCTACCTCAAGTGGAGGAGTTTAAGTATCTCGGGGTCTTGTTCACGAGTGAGGGTAGGAGGGATCGGGAGATCGACAGGCGGATTGGTTCGGCGTCTGCAGTGATGCGGACGCTGAGCCGATCTGTCGTGGGGAAGAGGGAGCTGAGCCAGAAAGCCAGGCTCTCGATTTACCGGTCGTCCAATCCTCACCCATGGTCATGAGCTTTGGGTAATGACCGAAAGAACGAGATCGCGGATACAAGCGGCCGAAATGAGTTTCCTCCGTAGGGTGGCCGGGCTCAGCCTTAGAGATAGGGTGAGGAGCTCGGACATTCGGGAGGGACTCGGAGTAGAACCGCTGCTCCTCCGGATCGAAAGGAGCCAGTTGAGGTGGTTTGGACATCTGGTCAGGATGCCTCCTGGACATCTCCCTGGGGAGGTGTTTCGGGCATGTCCTGCCAGCAGGAGGCCCCCGGGTCGACCCAGGACACGTTGGAGAGGTTACATCTCCAATCTGGTCCGGGAACGCCTTGGGGTCCTGCCGGAGGAGCTGGTGGAGGTGGCCGGGGAGAGGACGGTCTGGAGCTCCCTAGTTGGGATGCTGCCCCCGCGACCCGGACCCGGATAAGCGGAGGAAGACGAAGACGAAGATTCTCATCCCAGCTGCTTCACACTGGGCTGCGAACCGCTCCAGTGAGAGCCGGAGATCACGTTCTGATGAAGTCAACAGGACCTCATCTGCACCACACCATCTGCAAAAAACAGACTCCATCCTTAGGTCACCATAACGGATCCCCTCAACAACTTGGCTGCACCTAGAAATCCCGTCCATAAAGGTTATGAACAGTTATGATTCAATAATAAACAAAATGTTTCGTTTAGTTTGATTTTCAGAATGTCGCCATCTTCTTGTACCAGAGTGGATCCCAACAGTAGATGAGACAAACAGTGTTTTTACTTTTCTCTTCTCAGCTTTCTCCTTCTTTCTCTGCCTCTCAGTCTTCTTCTCAGTCACTGTGATGGCAGCTCCTGATGCTTCCTCGTCTTCCTTGTTTGGACTCGTCTCTTCATCTTCCTCATCCTCAATTAACCCCTCCACCTCCTCCCGCAGGGCTGTTTCCTGAGAATGAACAGAGACACATTAAATCAGAAGTAAAAGTGGCCTTGGTAGCAGGAGCAGGACAAACGGGCATACAGCTGTAGCCTTGTCTTCTCTGTTGACAGCCAGCTGTTTCTCCAGTTTGTCTTCCTGCTTCTTCTTCTTGACCTCCACCTCATGAGCTTCCTGCAGCAACGCCTGCGTAAACGAAAAGAAAAGTGCTCGGATCATCCAGCAGGCAGACAGGAGTGTGGTAATGTTTTGGAGGTCACCTGGTGGGAGAGGAAGTCTGGGTTGTAGGATCCTCCTGGAGCAATCACCTCCACAGCCGGGAGCGCAGACGGCTTCTGGTTCAGCTTCTCTGGTCTCTGAACAAACATTTCCCCATTACTGCGACTCCAACATCACCACATCCATGTTGGGCCTGATGAACTACGGCTACTCAGCCTCACCTTAACCTGCTCCTTGCCGGTTTGCAGAACATACCAGGGATCAGCTGGACTTTTGGCTAGTCAGAAAGACATGAAGGATTTTAGACACGTGCACGTTGAACGGTAGAGAAAGATCCGTGCAGATCTCGGATCAATTATGATCCGTTGCTTCTCTACTCTCAATAGGGCTGCAACTAACGACTATTTTAATAGTCGACTAGTCACCGACTATTGAAACGATTAGTCGACTAATCGGATAATTATTAATTTTTTCTTAAATTTAGTGTGAGATTGCTTTAATTATGTGAAAAATGATAATAAACACAAGAAAGATGGGTACTTCAATGGAAAATGCATATTTTTATTGAACTCTGATGCTGATAGGCCGATTCACACTAAAGTAAATAAAAATGTCTAACACCAATTAGTCAGTATAGACATAAATGCATATATAAAATTAAAATACTTTTGTCAGGTACAGTCGGGCACAACATTAAATCTCTTTTTTAAAAGCGAAAGTACGTTTACAAAAATGTACATGCAAAACAAAACGTGTTGGCTTTCGTGTTATTTAAATCTTACCGAGGTGAGTCAGACTCTGTTTCGTTCAACTGTCCGACGTGCTTTCTCTTTAGGTGTTCATGCATCACCGAGGTGCTGCCGTGATACGCGAGGACTGCTTTACAAATAACGCAGGTCATCTTTTTGTTGGCCGAATCCCGGCTAGAAGAGAGGGTGCTCGCTGCAGAACTACAAAGGCGGAGCTGCACCAGAGTCAGCCCCGCCCATTCACGCAAACTCAGCCTAGCCCACTGACTTCCGTTTTTGTTTTTCAACTTTATCGCAAACTAACCTGACCCACATGAATTACAGCTGTTACTAGTTTACAGTCGTTAATGCTATGCTCTATGCTCCAATTAAACAAGATAAATATAACTTGCTACATGACAAAGTCTGAATATATCCCGAAATGAAAAGGTTTCTTTTAGCGAATACCTGCCCACAGCCGCTCTAACACAAGTCCTGTACAACAGCATGTAATGTTACCAGGTGGGTTCTGGTAGTCCAGTGGCAAGACCGTCAGAATAAATTTTTGCTTTCCCCTCAGCTGATGCTGGTTCGATTCTCGGTGGGGTCGGCATCAATCTATTTAGCCAGCTGAAACATTGAATTTGTTTATATTTTAGTTGTAATGTTCATTTTCAGCAAAATATTTATGTCTCTACAAGTTCTTTGAATTTGGTCGTTCCTAAACAGCATTTTGGTTGAAACTCTGCTCACAAATGGACTCACACTGGCTAAATAAACGAATGAATAAATAAAAAAAACACATTAGTCATTATATGTTAAACGGTATACCAATAAATTGTTGTAAACATAGTACATTATTTATAGTATATTATTTATATAGCGCCAAATTCACAAAATTAAACGTATCCAAAACCTCACAATTTTTCGTGCACGTGTCAGTCGTGGTGTAAAATTTTGTTCTTTAAAAAGTCACAAAAAAATTGCTAAAGAAACAGCTCGACAGCGCCGCCTGGAACGTGAAAAAAATTAGAATTAAGCTATTTCCTGATCAATAGTTGAACAAATATTTACTGTTTACATAAGATTTGGATTGTTTTGTTTTCCAAGATAACTCAAAGTTTATTTGTGCCACTCCAAGAAGCAGCTTCTATCCACTAAGCAGAGGAGCACATCAAGCCTGGCTTCTCCAAGGAAGAAAAACAAAAGAAAAGATCATCTGGACTAAGGGTGGAATAGCTGCACTGTTTGTCTCAATGGCTAGAACCTGCATGTTCCTGACAAACCTTTTAGTCCCTCTCCTGTTCTACAAGCATCACAGAGGGGGTGGGGCTCTGCCTGGAGACAGAGAAATAACACCGGTGTGGTACGGCGCTGCCCATTCCACTCTTTCCATCTTTGAGCAACTTTTTCTGTGCCTGCCAGGACCTCATTTTCCTTGTTATGACCCAGCTTGGTTTTTCAGTGTCCAAGAGGAAGGATGATCCGCCACATTATCATCAAAAGCCTCAACGTGGTGTCAGACTCCAGCTTAGAGTCTCACTCCAGGGTATCTGCAGATTTATGGGAGCCAAATTTAAGACTTTTTAAGACCTTTTTTAAGGCCACTTTGACCAAATTTAAGCTATTTTTAAAAATAAAATTTAAGCTATAATTTCCAGCTATTGAATGAAACCGGTGCTAATCACGTGGCGAACGTGGGATTAACCATCCAGTTACCATTAAACTCGTACTTCCCCATGGTGCAAGCTCCCACTAGCTTAACCAGCTAATGTGCTCATCTAAAAATAGCCCCCTTTCACAACCAGCTGAATGTGTACGGTTCCACTTATGTGAACATCATACACAAAAAAATGCTGAACAATAAATAGAAATTCACAAAATTTTTATAGAAATAAAAGAATCTTGTTTACTGGGTCTTTGGTAATTTAAGACCTTTGGAAACTGTATTTAAGGATTATATGTCATTTTTAAGGATTCCTAAGGCCTTAAATTTGGAAAAGCAAATTTAAGACTTTTTAAGGATCTGCAGATACCCTGCACTCTGTCTTCCTGCTAAAAAGCAGCTGAGCTGCTGGGCATTCAGCGTTCTCATCTTCATTTATACATAAAAACACACTCAACTACATATAAATAATCTTTTTGTCTCTGGGCTCATAATCGTGGTTTTCACAACTTCTCTGATTGTCTAAAAAAAGGTTGTTTCTTTAGTTAAACTCCACTTTTACTTGGCCTAATAACAACATTTAAAAACTGGGGTATCGTTTTAATCTCGTTTTTAAACCTGAACTGAAACCAGGGAGGCGGAGTCTTGCTGCTAAGGCGTCCCAAATCAGACCAGTTTAAAAACGCGAATCCGAGTCCATAGAGGGTTAAAGTTGTAAATTAATTGTTTAATTATTTTATTTATTTATAATTTATTATTATTTAATGTACATGAGTGGGGTCAAGTGAAACCTTTTATTCTGAGTTGTAATTTATATAGTGCATTGTTATGTCAGTGCCAAATAAATATTTTCATGGTTTTGTAATTGACTTATTGCAATGCCTTGATTTTAGTGAAGTTAGTACACAACTTAGCCATAAATGCTATGGTTCTAATTAGGGATGCACCGATTACAGTATCCGTATCGGTAAAAGTTTACCGATACCAGGAACCGATACCAATGCAGTTGCTTGAAAATGGCGTCACTGTAACTTGTCATTTCTGTTCACCTAATATTTTTCTTGTGTGATGATTTCTATTCATATATTTTACTTTTTATCAACCTCACAGTCTTTTCCTGTTGAGAGCAGAGAAGAAAATATAATCTGTATTCCAAATAATTGCATTTTTTGTGTGTGGTAGAAGTATCGGTAATCGGTATCGGCGAGTACTCAGATCCAAGTATCGTATCGGTTTGGAAAAAAGGGGTATTGTTGCATCTCTAGTTCTAATTATTGACATGATGCTTTCTTTCGGTTTTCGGCCTTGGTTTCCTCATTTTCAGTTTGGGCCAAGAAGTTTCATTTAGTGCATACCTACTTAAAACCAGGAAAACCCGGAATGTTAGAAATAGTCGACAAGTCAGATCCTGGATCAGTCAGGAGCACTTTGACAAAAAGCTGCTTTCACAGTCATGTGATCACATTGCTTAAAATCACAACTCTTAACACACGCACACACACACTCACATTCTTGTGCCCACATGTCGTAATAATCTCTGTTTGGGTTGTTGTTGGCCTCAGTCACTGCCTTCTTCACCGTCCTGTCAGCGAGTCGTCTGTTCAGCAGCTTCTTCTGTGCCCGGGGCACAACGCCTTTGGCTGCCAACTGCTCAGCTTTCTGGGCGATGCGCCGAAGTTTCTTGGCATTTGGTTTCTGGTAGGCCAGCACACTGATGGAGGAAACAGAGGATCTTGTCATTCATGTGAAGCTGAAGGAAGCAGGGAACATTCAGTAGGAAGGGCTACGGGGATGTGTGATATGGTTGGGCGACGGGACAAACTATTTGACTATCAATGATGGACAGAGCCATTTGATGTTTTTACAAGAACTGATTTGATTATTTGTTTGGCCGTGAGTACGTTTATTAAAGAGCAAGTAACGTCTAAATTAACTTTTTTTTTGCTGATGAACTATATAAATGAGTGTCCAATAGTGTTTTAAATGTGTGTATTCATTATTCTAGCATTTTGGTGCATTTTCTTTAAAAATGAAAAATTCTGCCTAAATACCACAGTATAGCGCCACCTTCAGCTTAAAACATAGAGTTTGAGTCATTTTGAATACACTTTAGCCAATGGCTAAAGAGAAAGATACTACATAAACCAGTAGAGTACTACGTAGCAGCTCTGTGTCAAAGTTATAAAGCAACGAGTATCAGCCACGCCTTGTGGCGAGTTGGGAGTTGGATTTGCAAGCGAGTGTAGGAGGTTAGCCGCAGTTCAGCATTAGCATATAGCATTAGCATATCCTAGTCTTTAGCATAGATTTTAGTGTTATACATACTTATTTAGTGTTAGCTTGGCTGTTGGATATTGTAGTTTAGTTAGTGTTTGGCTGTTAGTGTTATTAGGAAAGTAGTTCGGGTTTAGTGTTCCATATCGTGTTAGTATTGGTGAGAAGGTGTAGTGTAGTGGGTTTGGTTGCTCGGTGGGGTTGCACTCCTTTCCGCTGGACTTAGAAATTAGACGCCAGTGATTGCGCGCAATCGGTGTCTGGAAAACAGTCAGCTCCCGCCTGGTGCTGTAGTTTGCAACCAGCATTTTACCCGCGATTCCTTCGCCAACATGATGGAGTTTGAACTGGGTTGTTCTGCACGTCTCTGTTTGAAGAGGGAGGCCGTGCCTACTGTGGTTCTTCCACGATTTAGATGCAGCCCACCGACTCTGCTCCCCCACCATGGCGGGCTCCAGTCTGAGGTGAGTAAGCTAAATAGAAGTTTTAACATCTTCTAAAGACAATTCCCTACCTAAATGCAAAGTTTGAGAGATGTGGTTCACTCCATTTAGCTAATATTAGTCTGCACTGCCTTCGGGCTGATTTGTCAAGTTCACAAAATGTGGAACGGGATGTAAGGTTAGAATCAGGGTCGAATCGGAAAATCTCGAAGACCTGGCCAACGAAACGGTCCACATGACTATTACTGTCAGGCTCGGAGAAAATTCGGGTTGTTTTTGTGTCAGTCGGTAATTCTGCAACAGTGACTAACTAACGCAGCACTAGTTGACAGACATCATTACAGCGTGACCCGGTTCTAGGGCTGCTCAATTAATCGAATTTTAATCACGATTACGATCTGAGTTTTGAACGATTATAAAAAACAAAACAAGCCGATTATTTGCTCCTCCCGCTTGCGCTGCCCTGAGTTGCAAATGAAGCGCTCCTCCACAGTGTTGCCAACTTAGCGACTTTGACGCTATTTCTAGCAGCTTTTCAGACCCCCTTCTTGACTTTTTAATCTTAAAAGTACCTAGCAAACACCTCAGAAACATCTCTGGTAACCCTTAGCTACTTTCTGGATAACTGTCGTCGACATTTCCTGCAGGTTAGCTAAACACTCCGCCTGTGCTCCGGACCGTTCTTCACAACATTAGGAAAGAGAATGATGCAGTGATGTGTCGGTCGCTAAAGACAGCTCTCGGAGCCGGCTCCTTGTTGGAGTAACCAGAGTGAGTGACACACACACCGCACCTGCGGACTCCTGAGCCGCTAAAAACAGCTAAATGTGCGCGTGCAGCGTGCTAAACACACGTGCACCTTGCCCGATTGCTGTGAGACCGGTTTGGGGGGTGGGGGGTGCAGCTGTGGTCGGGACAATTATTACATTAACTGGTGGACCTGTAAATAAATAGTTCATAAATAAGGTAGAAATAAGTTTCTCACGCTGATAAATAGTAACTAATCTCTCTGAGGACACGGTGCTAGTGCACGCTCCTACAGCACATTGACACGACTCAATAAATGTTATGCAACATTTTGTGAACATCAATTTATTTGCATTTATTTGTTATAAATGCCACTGTATAATTCTTGCTGTCTGTATTTGCAAGATATTGGTATTTGGTTCTGTACTGGTTAGACTCAAGGTCTATAGCCCTTGGGTCATAAACTATGAGCTATAAGTATATTAGTCTTTTTATACTGGGAATCAGGAGTTATTTTAGTGATCATCTTGTTTCTTATTTTTGTCCTGGTTGTGCCCTGAGCAATTTTATGACTGAATAAAAACAAATAAAATCAACATAAATTGAAAAATCGTCCTAAATAATCGTGATCTCAATTTCAGTCACCATAATCGTGATTATTATTTTTGCCATAATCGAGCAGCCCTACCCGGTTCTGTGAGGAATTCTGTTCAGGAGGTCGCATTTCAGGCTCTCTTCACATCATATGTGACTGACTTTTACATTATAATAACGATCACACACTAGGAATGTTATAAAGCGCCTATATAGGACAGTTTCTTTTGTATATTATCTGACTTTATAAACTCCAACAACAATGTGCTTCTATTTTTCTTTTTCAGGCTAAATCTGCCCACGACGTTGGCTGTCAGACTGATTTAGTAGTCTGCAAGAATGCATTTGTCCAGGCTGACGTGAAGCCTTACCGGCGTAGCAAAGGTGAATTATTTTTAATAATCTTCTATGTAAACATTTTATTATTACCTTCTAGTTTTAATTTGTTTTACAGATTATTGTTACACGTGATTTTATGCTCTTTTAAACATTTATAAATGTGCTGTTTCTTTGTTTTTACATAGCCACACAGTTTAGAGCTCCCAGCCGCAGTGTGTCTTGTGACACAGAGACCATGACGGAAATTCATCTTCCAGAAGGTCCCAGAGCAGTGTCCACACCCCTGAAAAGACCAAGATGTGAGGTGTCCTCTGTTGATTCCAGCTTCCACCTCAGTGACAGTGCAAGCTCAGTGAACTGTTCAAGGTAAAAAAATTAATATCTTAAAAATTCTGAAATGTTTTAACAATTAGATAAGTATGTGATTGCATCATGACATCATGAAGGAGGCTACTGATTCTGCCCCTGTGACACTTGGTGGTAACGTGTGAGCTGATTCACCTGGTAAATAACTTTTACATTAAATATTTTGTTCTTTGCTATCAAAAGTAAATTAACTGCCTATCTCTAGCGGTCAATGGGCAATCAGGCGGGGTACCCCCTGGACAGAGAGCCAGTCCATTGCAGGGCGATGACATGACATGTTTTACATGAGTCAGCTAACCACAGTTCCTACTTGAATAATCTCAACTTCAACATGAATTTTAACTCTATGAACAACAACATCACCTTCATTTAGACAAAAACATGTTTTGGAGAGAAAAAAAGAAAAAGACTTGCATCAGAACCAGTGTGTTTGTTTCTGACCACAACCAAAGTGTGGAAGAAGCCTCTGGGATGAGAGGCTAAATGTCTCCAACATATCCA